CACAATTACTAAAATATGCCCTGACATTAATGGTTTGTAAGGTGGTAACTTCCCTGAGTGCTGAGGAACAGCTGAAATCTCTTCTTTATACCTGTCTATGCAAGACTCATTGCTGTCAGGTTTAAATATTTCAAACCTTCCAGGGCAGCTGAGTGAAGGAATTGTTTCCTGAGAACACCACGGTGGAGACAAGGCAGCATGTGCTCTGTCTGACTCCAAAGTGTACTGAAAAGTCAGCTGGCAGTCAAAACCAAACAGGGAACTAACTAAGACACCAATTTAGGGCTCCTCTACCTAGAGACCAGTGTTGTGAAACTTAATGATCTCTCCTCTGCTGTCAAATACCATTAGAATTAGACAAAGGATGTAGAAATTTCTAAGGAAGAGTTTGCAAAACAAGAGAAACAAAGAGTGTAAGTGCAGATACTGTTTCCTCAGGAAGACTTCCTAAAAATGAAGCTACAAAGCAGACAGAGTTTTGCTCTCAACTCACCATTCTCCAAGCTGATGTCAAATTAAGCTGTGCAATGGGTCTAACAGAGCACAAAACTTTCATTTTATTTCTAAGCAAGAGGTAAGACTACACTTTGCTATACACTTAACAGACTCAAAGCTCACACAATGTTTATGCTTAATGAAGGAGACAGGGCTGCAGGGGCACTTGGACTGAGACTCTGGGGAGGAATGTATCAGGTTTGGGATCTCTTCCGAAATAAGGTGCTTGAAAGACCTGAGCTGTGCATTACTGTCAAATTTAGGATACACGAGGGACTCCGTGTGTAGTGTTGGGCAAAACTCTGGTTTTAGTGAGACCTTGGAGAGGTGGCAGGAGTAAACAGCTGGCCTGAAGGAAGGCTCAAAGTCACACTGTAAGGAGGTGAAAATGAAGGTAGGTACTGAGAGCGGTTTGCAGAGTACATGGAGCAGCTGTGTCTTTTATGATAAGCTCAAACACTGCAGAGTGAGTGCAGTACAAATGAGACACTGTGAGATGATTAACTGTGTTTGCACACAGGGCCCTGCCTGCACTCATACCCAGAGGGAGAGCGTTTTCCTAACCTAACTAGGCTGCTGCTGTCTCCCTGTTCTTCCCACCTGGAGATGGAGACAGCCGACAGCCTCTCCTGCTCTACCTTCAGCTGCTGCCAGCATCACACTCCCACATGCAGAGGGCAAGGGCAGCCTGCTGCCCTGATCCTGCTAGTGGCTGGGGCCAGAGGGGGCAGAAAAGGAGATGGGGCTGGGAGGAAGGCTTGCAGAAGGGTCCACAAGTGGGCATTTCAGCTGTTCAAGCTGCCCAGAGTGTCAGCAGCTGGAGAGGCTACATCATTTTCCCTTGATGCTGCACTATCCCCAAATCTTGCTGTACACATGAACCTGTGTGGCCACAAATCTATTCCAAAGCTCCATCACCCGTGTGGTAAAGTTCTTCCTTCATGTTCCTTCCTGTGTTTTAGTTCATGCCCGTTGTCTCTTGTGCTATCACTTGGCATCACCGAGAAGAATCTGGCCTCATCCTTTTTACACCCTCTCATCAAATACTTACGCACATCGACCAGGTCCCACTCTCTTCTCAAGGCTGAAGAGGCCCAGCTCCCTTTTATTTCTTTATTGACAAGCACAGAGTCAAGGTCTGCAGAAAAGGGAGGATGATTTGAGTGCCAACAGACCCTCCTGCCAATAACCAAGAACTGATGAAAACTCTGAGTAGGAAGGTAATTCACAAACACACAAGGAGAAGAATGCCATCTAACTGGATCTTCAAAGCAGAATTATATTGCTATATCCCCTACAGCTATCTAAAGGCAATGAAGAGACTATAGGGCTCATGTATTGATGCTCTCAATCTTATCTCCATTTTATGTTCTTTAGCTGTAGAGATTAATTCCTTGATTAAAGATCATGGCTGAGATTCAGAAAGCTGAACCTTAGGGAACTATGATTATAGCTGAATGCTCTGGGGCTTGCAGATTCGGGACATCAATGGATCTTGCATGGGAGCCATACTTTACATTATCTTTCTCTGAAGGCATAGTATTCTGGATATAATTATGCTGATGCTACAGCTAGAGCCAGGACTGGGAGTTCAAAGCCTCAAGGCCCTGGATTATTGCAGGATGTTGTAAGGACTACAGGTAGGAAGAAAGCTTGTGCCAGCTGGAGCCAGTGCTTTATAAGCTACAGCAGAAATGCGAAGCTGGTTGTAAGTGGAGAAGCTACTTATAACCAGTTCAGTTCACTTATAACCAGTCAGGGTTCAGTTTGCAGTAGACTCGGGGATAGCAGGATCCAAGCCCATCAAAGTTCTGCAAAGCCTGACGAGGTGAGGGTCAGAGTATTCTCTCTTTCTTGAAAGCATGAGCCATCTGTTATTAATCCAAAGGTTAGGAGGAGTAGGGTTGGCTCCAGGATTTTAAACTGTAGATAATGAAGAACATAAACTGCTGCAGGTAATATTTGGTGATACCTGATTTTCTGTTCTACTGTATGGCAGGCATGGGTATGACCAATGTGCATGAAGATCTGTATTATTTACCACATGCTGCTGCCCAAGAACATCAAGAGATTGGGGTTCCATAGGTATGCATAACAAGGTAACAGGTTAGGTACCTAAATACTGAGGAACCTGTGTTATTACTACTGCATGCTGCCCAGTTCTCAGTATTAGGAGGGCCAGTGTCAGTACAGGACAGTTAAGGTTTTCTGTTGTTCCAGACATTAGCTTCACAGGGTAGGGATCAGGGACAGACTTTGGAAATCTAAAGCCTAAAGAACCGAGTTGTTACTGAAGTTGCAAAAACTGCAGTGTGCTGGCCTCAGTAATGATCAACTCTCTCTCCCTGCTCAGTGTGTGGGTTCTCTGCTCAGGAGTATGGATACTGGATGAATTGGGGTTTTTTGCAGGGCCTAGGAAGAGCTAGGAAGGAAGGGTACTGGTGTCAACAGCCACAAATACTTGTATTCTGTTCTGCTGTAGGAACAGGACCTTACTTTTATCTTCAGATACCATGATAGAGGACCAATTTTATTAATGAGTATAGTAGCTGACTTCCATGCATTGAAAAGAGTGGATTGTTTTACCTTTTTATATCAACATTGTAAATTTATGCCTAGTGAAGGAACACACTGAGTGCTGTTGCAGCAAGAAAAGGGCAGGACATACATTTTCACTGTCAGAGCTGTTTTCATATAAACACTAACCTTAGTGACAGTCTTGTGGAACAGCATGTTGTGACTGATTCCCAGCAGTGACTTTGAAATGCAGAGCAGGTTTTGTTGTCCTTCTGCACCACCACATACACACACAGGCAGCACCCTCCCACACGCAAGTCTCTTACAAAGCTTTCCAACCTGCCTGTCTCTTTTCAGCAGGCCCTGCTTTCAGCAGTGTCGAAAAGGACAAACCTCTTTCACTGAGAGACTCTTTGAAACAGGCTTGACTGGGAAAAAAATGCACCAATTTGATATAAGTCTGGCTTTATGTGAGCTAAGAGGTCAGGTCTATGGTAATCAAAATAATGTAAGTAATACAGCAGTGAATGTTCTGTGTAAGCTTGTAACCAGAATGGAAGCTATAAATGTCAAACAATAACATTGTGAAATAGGCATTTCAAAATAATTATTACCTTTATTTCTCTGTAAATTCCCTTTTTCCTAGGCAGTCCCCTGGGACACAAGATGAGGAGAGATGCTGGTGCTCTCTTTCTCTAAAGGTACAAATAAGTCATGGGAGGGGTGTTAGGCATCAAGTGTGTGTTACAGGGCAGAGCTCTCCAAAGAACAAATCACCATTTCTAACACGTGGTGTGGTACAAGCAAATCTTCCTTCTCCTTTCTGGATGAACAAAACAAGGTAAAAACATTTGTATGGCCATATCATAGAATCATAGAACCATAGAATGGGTTGGGTTGGAAGGGACCTTAAAGATCATCTAGTTCAACACCTCTGCCAATGCCCACTAGACCAGGTTGCTCAAAGCCGTGTCCAGCCTGGTCTTGAACACTGCCAGGGATGGGGCAGCCACAGCTTCTCTGGGCAACCTGTGCCAGTGCCTCACTGCCCACACAGTGAAGAATTTCTTCCTACTACCTCATCTAAATCTCCTCTCTTTCAGTTTAAAGCTGTTCCCCCTTGTCCTATCACTACATGCCCTTGGAAAAAGCCCACTCCAGATTTCTTATAGGCCCCTTCTAGGTACTGGCAGACTGTTAAAAGGTCTCCCTGAAGCCTTCTCTTCTCCAGGCTGAACATGCCCAACTCTCTCATCCTGTCTTCATAGTAGAGGTGCTCCAGCCCTTTGATCATCTTCATGGCCCTTCTCTGGACTTGTTCCAACAGTTCCATGTCCTTTTTATGTTGAGGACACCAGAACTGCACACAATACTCCAATTGAGGTCTCATGAGAGCAGAGTAGAGGGGCAGGATCACCTCCTTCGACCTGCTGGTCACGCTCCTTTTGATGCAGCCCAGAATACGGTTGGCATTCTGGGCTGCAAGCTCACACTGCCGGCTCATGTTCAGCTTCCATTCAACACACCACCAAGTCCTTCTCCGCAGGGCTGCTCTCAATCTATCACCACGCAGAAATTCAAATCCCAATTTTAAGCCAGTTCAAGTAAAGATATGAGACGGCACTGCCTCTCTTAGTGGGCCAGCTACATTCTCCTTGGGTTTTTCACAGAGGCAATTCAAGACAATTCTATTTTCTCTAACGCTGCAAAACCCTCACCTGCGCGCACCCGCTGCGTGCATGCACAGAACGTGTTACCGTGTCCGCCACGCAGGCTGACCCCATCGCCTCCGCTGCTCAGCCCGGGCTTTCACTACGCCCTCACCCGCCCGAAGTCCCCCCCAACCCCATCCCTGTCCCTTCACGGCAGGGTGTCCCTTTAGGGGGTCACGGACCCTCCTGCGGCCCGGCCCCGCCCCGCCCCGCCCCGGCGGAGCCGCGCAGGTGAGAGGGAGCCGCCCGGGCACCGGGGCCGGCCACGCTGCCGCCCCGCCCATAGGGACGAGCCGGGGGCCGGCCGACACCTGCCGCGGCCGCAGAGCCGCCGCTCCTGCTGGCCTCTTGCGTCCTTCCCGGCCGCGGCAATGGAGCCGTAGGGGCGACCGCTCTTCCCCTGGGGGTAAGGAGAGCGCTCCCGCAGGCGGCGGGCAGGTCAGTGTTGCCTCCTGTACCTGTTGCGCCGGGAACCGGCGGGAGGGGAGGAGGGAGGGAGCGAGAGAGGCCCCATCGCAGGAGGTACACGGGCTCCCGGCGGGAGGCAGCAGCCCCAAGGTACCGGACTTCGGGGTCCACTCCTGGGGCTCGCGGGCAGGGAGCGTGTCCCGCGGCTCGGCTCCGGGGCTTGATTTAACTGTCCATCGCGCACGGGGAAGCGGGCAGCGCTTCAGAGCCCGTCACCGGGGCTCGGCCAGGGGCACAGACCGACATCGCCCCCCCCCCCCCCCCCCCCCCGGCTGCCGATGCCAGACCCGCGCCTCCCCCGGAAGCGTTGCCCGCCTCTCCCGCGCTGGGTAACAGCGGCGGAGGGGCCCGGTGCCCGGCTGCCAGCCCGCCCTCGCCCTCTTCTTGCCTGCAGGAGCCCGAGATGGCGGACAGCGCCGCGGCCACCGCCGCCCCCCGCGCCGGCGTCAAGGGCGGCTCGGCGGGGCCCTGGTGGAAGTCGCTGACCAGCAAGAAGAAGCACAAGGAAGCGGCGGCCGGGCCGCCGCCCCCCGCCGCCGCCAGCGACGCCCCCGCCGAACCCCCCAACCCCGGCGGCAGGGAGGAGCAGTCGGTCCCGTTCGGCAGCGGCGAGGCCGCGGCGGCGGGCGGTGGCAACCGGCGGAGCCTCCGCGTCTCGCACTCGGGCCGCTTCAAGGAGAGGCGGAAGGTGCGCACCTCACTGCTGGCCGACAGCCCCGACGTGTTCGACGGCGGCGGTGCCGCGGGCCATGCCGCCCAAGGGGGCGAGTAGCCCAGGGACGGTTTTGCCCCGGAACAGCCACTGGACAGGGGGCCGGAGCCCGCGGCTGCCCCACAGCCCAGGTTGGCCTCGCTTGGCCGCGTTGGCAACGTGGAGCGGCCCCCCCGGGCCTGACCAGACACTGTGGGGAGCCCAGCACCTCATGTGGACAAGTGAATCGCATGCAGTGTCACGCCAACACCGCCAAGACCAAAGCCCCAGGTGACGGGACGCTGTGATTGTCTTAAAATAACACCAATAAACACCCCACTCCTTGCACTGTGGTGAGCGGACTCGAAGGTGCTATCCCAGAGCCGATGCTGGGGTCCCTCTGCCTTCCCCCAGCCCTTGCCAGGAGCCAACATGCTGACACCTCGGGCCAGTAAGCCAGCTCCTCTCGGGCCGAGGAGGTGCTCTGCTGCTCTGTTCTCACGCGCTGTCTTATCGAAGGAGGGGGAACAAAGTGCTCTTAATCTAATTTCAGGGCTGAGGACCTCTGGTGGGGCCATGTGGGCTCCTGCCCTGCATTCGCTGACATACCGGGAGCCCGTCCTCTTTGCCCTGTAAGGGTCGAAAGAGGTATTGTGAGAGGCAGGTGCTTGCATTGCCCATGTCCCACGCCACATTGTATTTAAATATGCAAAAAGCAGGACTGTGCTGGTATTCTCCCTCTCCTTACTGTGTAATGATAAGCGGATTTTCAGCGGCTGGTCTCCCATAGCTCTGTTACAGAGGGAGGCAGCTTGTTGTCAAGCAATTCGTGCTATTTACCTAGGGAACACATGATTTTTGCATAATGAAGATGAAGAAATTATGTGATAAAATGTAAATTCTCTTTTGGGAGATGGGGCTAGCACAGGTAGGGTTGTACTAATGTGGAAATAGGCTTGGGCACAACTGGAAATGTTCTTTACTGTTTACCATGTCCAGGGCTTGTGAAGCAAGATTAAAGATCCCCAGGATTTCTTTTGATAGCAAAATAATGTGCTTTAACTCTGGTAACTGTCTGCTTCTTTTGACAGCTCCTGGATTTTTGGACAAAGTAAACTATAAACCAGATTTGTACTGGTGGTGTGCCTTACAGAGCAAACTCTGCTAAAAACACTCAGCAATTACACATTTCTGGATAGTAGGTGATGTAGCAACAATTGATTTATTTATTTTAAATGCATTCCCAATATACTTTGTAGTTTTTAGACCTTTTCTGAATGTGAGATAAGATATTCCATAGTGGCAGAGACTGAAAATCATTTCCTAGGAGTCAGGTATTACACAGTTATGATTTTGTTTGGCTGTAACTAATGATTCAAGGTCAATTAAAAATAAAAAGTGACCCGAAAGAAACAAGAGCCGAGTTCCAGGTGAAAATACCAAGTAAAACAGTCACTGACAGTCTGGGCAAGTGCCCCGTGGTTCAATGTGTGTGATAATACATAATGGACTTTGAAAGCTCCTGTGTGATAAAACACAACCTAGCTGGCTTAGGTACTTACTGGTCTGTCACTCAGCTGCTCCTCCAGACTCTGAAACCCAAGGACAGAGGGATAGTAGCATCAAATCTGTTTCCATAAAAGCTTTTTATCTACCCAATGCATGGACATATGCTCTTCTTATTTAGTAAAACCACAAGGTTCTGGGTCTGGACTCCCTTTTTGATGTTCCTGACTGCATGCTGACCAAGGAAAGTGCTGGGGGGGTTGTGCGGGGAGCTCATAAATGTTTCTCCTTGGAGATGCTTTTATTACATGGAGCCTCTTCATTCAAGGGGCATCTGAAATCCTTCTGTCAAGAAGCAGCAGCTGGAGCAAATGCAGCCTCAGATGAAGGGGTGCAAGAGAGAAGGAGGGAAGTTTGAAACCTGGGAACGGAGAGATGAAGAAGAGCCTGTACTTCAGCTACGGCTAGCCCGAGGCTAGGGGAAAGGAGGTGGAAAGGGGTGGCTTTGCTGCCAGGGTTGTCATACTGCATTTTGGAAGACAACGTTTATTTCAGGTGAACAAATCTGCCTGTGTTTATGTATTCTAGGGCCCAAAGAAACTTTGCTGTATGTGTGTGTCCAAAATGGAAGAACAAGTAAGCAGATACTGCACTGATGCATTTCTTACTCCTGTGTTTGGTGCGAGCTCTGTGTGGATCAGATCTTCAGAGGCCTGAGTGTGCAGACTAGTGCTTTGCAGATCTCATGCTGATGCTTTTCTGCATTTTCAATCCTACACTACTGTGAAGATACAGTTTCCTCTCTTCTGCACCCCCGAGTACCTCTTTCTACAGTGAACATCTGTTTGCTCTTTGTAAACATTTCAGATTTATTAGTGGCAAGTCTTTACCAAGGCACAAGATAACTCCCAATTCGGGTTTTATTTGAGAAGTCTGGTATGCTGTTGAGATGGCTGCTGTTAAGATTTTATATCAATACCAGTTAATATGTGACTAAATATTCGCTGTGTCTTAATCCTTTCATGTTGGAAATTTGGTCAGAATACCAAATCAATAAATGCACATAAAATGACTTGCAGCCATCCTCCATCTTTATCCTGACCTTGAGCTGTGGGAAGGAGACGTAATTCTATCTTCCTGCTCAGTCAAATCCTTGCTTCAATGAATTTGATAGCAGCCACTGAAAAACTAGATCCATGAGAAAATGGGCTGACTGCCTCATCTCACTTTCCCCACCCTCCGAGCAAGGGGCACGCAGCAGTATCTTTAGGTTAGTACTGACCCATGTACCCCAGCGAGGAGTGAGAAGCCCTGTTGGCCATAACCAGCTTGCAGTGCAGAAACAGTCCTCTTTTTTTCTCAGTCTGAGTATCAGATAAAGTCTTAATTAATCTATACACATGTAAATGAATTAAGCTGATACAGAAAAAGGTGGCATTTCATGGAGCACCTGCATTACATGGGTTTTTTTAACCCTTAGAGTGGAGAAAGTTTAACCTTTCTTTTGTGTTGGGGAATACTTGCTCGGTTATAACAATAGTGCACTTCTATGCATTGAATTATTAAAAGCCTCTTGGCATTCTTAATATAGGTATTTTCCTTATCTCCTTTATAAAGATCGTGCACCACAAGGTAAGTGTAGGAAACAGGGCAGCTGAGAAAGTAGTTGCTGTTTGTTTTGAAAAGCAAGCAGTGACATATTGACGAAATACATGGGAATAAGCAGACAAGGTTCAACCTCAGCTACATCAGCTGTAGTGCAATTTTCTTAATATTATTCTAGATACTACCAAGGATTGCAGGGTTGGGGCAAAAAAAATAGACATTCAGTAAATAGAGTGAACTTTTCAAATACACTTGCAAAGTATATGCCTGCTTATTCCTGCTCTTGCCAAAACTAAATATACATCTCTTAGTTAGCTGCCTGGTGAATCATTCCCTGCTATTGTAGGCTGGTCAGTCTGGACCTCAACAAAGATTATAGGGAGCACCTGCAGAAAATGATCCTAAATTGGAAACGCTGGAATAAATGCCTTGAAAGCGTCAAGACTTTTAACCTCAGATGTTATGTCAGGGTATGACTTAAACTGAACTGAAAGAACGGAGAGGGGTATCCACTGGTTTGGGTTTTTTTGTTTGTTTGTTTGTTTTTAATTCTGTTTTCATTGTAGTACAACCAATGATAATCTCATATTTGAAATACCAAGTCACCTGTCCCTTAACAAGATAACTTCATACAAGGTCTACAGTCTGAAGGACAGAACTCCCAGCCTTAGCCTGGGCAGTACAGCTGGATGCTGCATGCTAAAGCCAGTGTTTAATTTAGCTCATTCAAACATCTTATATTTAATTGGAAGAAAAGCTGTTTCAAGTGCAGGTACAAACTGGAAGCTCATTTTGTTGCCTTTTGGGATCCTATCTGGTAGGGCAAAAGAAAGAAACGCAAACCTGGTATTTTCTAAGATGTCTTTAAAAAGCTGGGGTGAGAGAGGGTTGGTTATAGAATTATATTTGAAACCATATAATTACACCATTTTGAAAATCAAACCTTTCTCCTTCATCACTCTTTTATTGTAAGTTAGATGGGAGACCTGCTGGCTCTGGTTTTTCATTTCAGAATAAACCAAAAGGGATAAAGTTGCTCAATTTTATAAACACCAGAAGTAATGAAGTAGTCTCTTTTTATCTGTTTTATCCTTGATGACACATCTACAATCCACAAATAGCTCTAAGAAACAATATTTGGATGTAGTCTTCAACTAAAGCATATTGATTAGCAGCTGCAGCTTACAAAATTGACTTGGTGCTCATCTCTCTAGATAAAGCAATATAACATCAGGTAATACGTGTTTTGGGGATAGCAAACAGTTTTCCATGATAGCTGCAAGGCATGATTTTAAATGAAAAATTTACTCTGGTGAGTAATCTTCATCAGATCTAAACATCATGTTTTGTGTGAGTAAGAATGAGTTAGAATGTTCTTCAGGGTATTAGTTACCAGACTATCAGATGGTTTGGGATATGTGAAGTAGGCTCGATTCTCAGGTGCAAGCCTGTGTGTGCTGTGAATATTCTGCCACCTGTTTGCAATGCTTAAGGTCTTCATCCAAAGTTACTATCTATTATGGTAGCTCCTTTTACACTAAGGAAGTAAAAAGCATGCTCCTCTGCATTACTGAGGGTAAGAACCATACCTATGTATTGTCTGTTAGAATGAAAAATGAGAGGTGCTGGGCACTTGAACCTTGGTGACTTACTCTTCTTTTTTTTTTGTTCCCTGCTGACAAGTTCATTTTGCTATCCAGGTCTTTGTTTTATCCCCAGCCTGTGAATGTGTGAGCAGATAAAGTATCCGCTCATCTCACAAGAATTGCTCAGTGATGGGAGAGTGGCCAAGGAAAAAGGAAAAGTTGTAATAGATCCATTTCTGCATGTGCTTCTGGGCACATTCCTACTCAATTTTGTCAACAGGAGCAGAACTGAGCCTTAGTCTTGATTCTGGAAACACAGCTACCTGGGAACAGAAGGAGCCTCATAGCCTGCACATCCTAAGTTGTGTTTATCTTGGCATGCATTTTCAGTGACAGAGGTTTCCAGAGTTGGTTTACCTGTCTAACATCATTGGGTTCAGGACTAGGAGCATGGTGTAAACTTAAAAGAGACATCCTACCAACAGTACTTCTAGAAATTATATAGCTCAGACCTCTGCGAGGAAGACAAAAAACCTATTTTCTGGATCCTATATTTTTGGGTTCTTTTCTAGGCATACCAATACTAGAGCAGCCTCCTTGCTGGACCCTAAAGCAACTACAGAAGTAGGATCGATGAAATAGGCAGGCTTG